GTACTCGATGAAGGGCGTCTTGATCGAGTCCGGGATGACCTTTTGGTTGGGCAGGAACTTGAGCGAGTCCGGGTTGGGCGTGTTCTCGGTCTGGATGAAGATGGTGCGGCGCTGCTGGGGCGCGAGGGTCGTGCTAGGGGTCCATGACTGTTGGTGAAGACGGGGACGAGCGGCCGAACGGGCGCCGGTATGCGCTTGTCTGCTGTTGCTACTGGCGGAAGCGGAAGCAACTTGGCGCAGACGCGGGATGGTTGTCGCGGCGGGTCGCACGGTCGACTTGGAGACGAGAGGCACTAGGCCTTGTCGTAATAATAGTCTATTCGATGGCATCGTGGGCGGTGGTGTTGGTGTTTGTCGGAATGCCGTCGAGGGGAAGAGACACGGCGACTCGACCGGGACGGGGAAAGAAAGATGGGAAAGAAAAGGAATGACGCCGACAGATTCCGAAATGTTTGCCGCCGGTCCGGGCATGGAATTGTCAGCGGCCGCTAACGCTAACGCGATTAGCGCCGATATGCGTCCACTGCCGTGCCAGTTCTAGCGCAAAGGCTAGCTGGCTAGACTCAAAATGCTCCCTGGCTAGACTAAGCCCACTTTTATCGCTGAGTAAGCCCAGCCGCCCAGCCCAGCCCGCGCCAGCATACTACGTACAACTAAGGCCATATAATCAATGTCCGCATATTGCTAGATTTACGTCGTTGGCATTATTTTTTTACGTAAAGTTATTTAGAGTTATCAATCCAATTAATTATCTACTACAGAGGATATTAATACTATAGTTACTAATAATACTATTATCCTCTATATTAGCTCTATTGTTATATATATTTACACTTACTACACTTATTACTTAGAGTATACGTATCTACCCTAATTTTGATACTCGCTGTATAAATATTACCTAAAATATTAGGGAGGTGGCTAAAAATTTACCCTCCTATTTAAATCTCCCAACATCTATCCTCCGCCCCGTATAAATACTAAAAGTAATACTATAACTATAGGGGTTTAATTATATTATATTGCTAGTACAACGTAGCTTTGTAAATTATACTATAGCTAATTAAAGGGAGGAGGAGCGAAGTCTAGGTCTTCAAGAGGTGCCTAAGTAATAATAAAATTAATTAGCCCAATACAATAATTTATAGTACGAATTATAAGAGCCTCCTTTACTTCTAACCGTATAGGTATATAACCCTCTAATTTAACTATATTTAATACCTAATCCTCATACTAATTTTAATAACCGCTTAAATTAAGGATAAGAAATTTTAACAGCCACCTAGTAAGTGCTAATGCTTTATAATTAAATTAATTAGAATTAGTAAGCTAAATTGGCGGTTATTATTAAATTTGGGAATAGGGAAATAAGGAAGGCGCTAGCCGTTAAAAGGGAATTAGAGGGTAAAAAAGCGAGGGCGAAGGAATTAAAATTATTTGCAGGGGTATTAAAAAAAGCACTAGCGTAAATCGAATTATAGCCTCTATAATAACATTATTTAAATCCTCCCGTATAATTTAATTTATTTAAATCCTTCCTCTTTTAGCGCAAAATTATCTTTAATAAGCTAGCGCCCTCCTTCTTCTCTAAGTATTTCGCTGTATTACCTAATAGGGAAGTTTATTGTAAGAAAGTACGCAGTGGTTATTATATTAGTCGCGGTTAATAAGCGCGGTTATAATAAGCATAGCAGTTCAAGGTTAAAGCTAAGTAGGTTAAGCGGATAATATTTAATTACTTTCGAATTCGCATAATTTATAAACCTCCGAGTTTATAAAATTTCACCTTAATACTCTACGTATATAATCTATAAAGTTTAGATTAGGGATAACTACTTTTCGTTAGCGGCTAAGTAAGGCAATAGGGTTTTAAATCGTATAAATATAATATTTAACCTCTATTATCGAACCGCCTAACTACTAATACGTATTAATATCTTTTATAATAAATATTAATAAGACATTTATTTATAATAGCCGTAATATAAAATACTTTTAAAGTAGCTTATACTACGTAATAAACTCCTTCTTACCATTAAAATTTAAATTGTAATATAGATTTTTAAATTAATCGTTATACGTATAGCGGTACTAGTACTATATAAATTTGAAGGTATATAATACTACTTATATAAAAAAAAAGGAAGTTAATTAATTAGACTTCTAGAAGGTTACATTTTTACGTACTTTCAATATTAGATTATGGAATATCCTTACCTTTTTATATTTATATAAAACTATCTATTTCGCTATAATATATTTAAATTTGAACTCCTATCTTTAAGAGTGGTAAGCAGATCGTATATATTTATATAATTAATTTAAAAAAGAGAGGCGGTTTTTAAGGAAGCGTTTAATAGCTTTATATATAAATTCAATTCGGCTAATTACCTTAATACTAAAACTTCTATACTTCGAAACGGCGTAATTACTAAATTCGTTAATCTATAGGAAGTAATACTTAAGAAGGTAAGCGAAGAGAATTATAATAAGACGAAAGAGGTTATTAGTTAATTTAGTAGTAAAAAAAAAAAAAGAGAGTAGGCGAAAAAAGTATATTATTTATTATAGAAAGGAAGGGGGGGGGGGGGGGGGTTCAATACGTACGAATTTATTATTTAAATTTATAGACTATTAAATATTTTACCCGCTTAAAGTAACCTTTATTATTAATATAAACTACCTACTTTTAAGCCTTTTAAAAGCCTTTATATAAATTTTAATAGAATTGACGAGAGGGGTTGAAAGTAGGCACTTTACGATTGCGTAGAATAATAACTTTAATTATTAGCTTTTTAATTATTTTACGAATGTTTTACCTATTATTAAGGTATTAAATAAAACGGTTAGTAGCAGCGGCATCGTTAACTTCTTCCGGGTTATCTTCCTTTAAATTATTATTAATATATTTGTTATCGCCAACTTCATTATTAATTTTACTATCAACAACCGCCGTAAAATTTCCATATAATAAGCAATCGGAACTATTATTATCCAAATCCCGGACCGTTAGTAGGAAATTTAAAAGGTTAATATCGGGGGCAGAATTATTACCGTTATTACCCCTATTACTAAAAGGTAATTAAACCTACTTCTTTTTAATATAATAATTCACATTCTTTATAACGTACTATATATAGAATTAATATAGCACTTCTAAGTAAGTAATAATAACGGCCTTTTTAAATCCTCTATCGAAGTCGCTAATGAACACCGCGGGGTTAGGAATTTTATAATCCTCTTAAAGCCTTTTTAAATAATTAAATCACTATTTAAAATCTTCTTATCTCTCCCCACTCAAAAAATTAAAACCGATATTAAAATTATAACCTAACGTATTAATACTAATAATATTAAAGAAAGAGAGGTTAAAACAATTAAGCTATAAGGAAAAAGAGGGTTAATTATTATTAATAAATAAAAGACTCCAAATATAAGCACTAAAAGCAAGTACTAAATATAAGTAGAAAATCCCAAATCCGAATATTTAGAATTAATAAATGTAATAATATAAAGGTTATGTTTACTTTATACGTATTATCAATTAATAAAATATAGGGATTTTTTTTTCTATATTTTAATATATTAATCGAAAATTTAGAATATTCGTATTACGCGTTCTCCGTTATACTCAATAAAATATTCGATACCGTAAAGGTTCTTATATTATTCCAATAAATCGATAAGTATTTTAATCGAAGAATAAGGACTATACTTTATACAACGGATACACTATTAAATATTTAATACTTCCTTTACCGTAATAGGGATTCCAAGACTATATAATTCTAATATTAAATTATTATAATTAACACATTAAATAGTAACCGAATCTTCGTCTTTAGAATCTAAAATACCACTTAAATAGTAAGCAATTTAACGGACAATTATTTTAATAATACTAAATAATCTTTCGATAATAATATTAATAACTTCTTTATAATTATAATAAACCTATTATTAATAAGTGGCGTTACTAACGAAATTAGTAATATCGAAGTCGTAATTATAATTATTTTTAATTTCTTTAGCAAATTACTATTTACCCTACCTTACCCATAATACTACTTTTATACAATATAAGTAGTTAAGGCGCCTCGATATAATATTTCGAATACTTTGCCCAGTACTAACTTTATAAGCGCGGCCGTATATATAATAATAATCGATACGAACAATGATAGTCTCCTCTCCCTTCTTCCTACTCTTTATATTACTTTGCAATATAATTATAAAACTTTATTATACAACGTATTCTTATAACGCATTGAACGCAACGACTTTATTATCATAACCCGAGGAAGTAAATAGAAACCTCTATTTAATAATAGCGCGGCGCTCGCTAACGGATAGTAACTACAATAGCGAACACAATTTCGAAGGCTTATAGTAGCGGGGACGGCGTATTAATAACGATTGGAGTTTGACGAAGGAAATTGTACTCTATTTAAAAGTAATTACTCGAAACGGATTTAAAAGCATTTTAGTTAGCGATTTTATTTAAACCCCATTAGCATTAATTATTTTAGTTAGCTAGGCTAGTAACTTACCTAGGCGGACGGGCGGGCGGGCGAAGAGGTATAATAATACTACGAATTCAAAAATATTGTACTAAATAATAATAAAGACGAAAGATAATCGCTGCAATCAATCGCTCAATACTAGGAGTGATATCGCGATAGCTTTATTCAATTATATAAGACTAATTATCGCTAATAGACAACGCGATAGTAGCAGTGGTTGGGCAGCAATGTGCACAGTATGGTATGCTGGCTGGGCTTACTCGGCGATAAAAGTGGGCTTAGTCTAGCCAGGGAGCATTTTGAGTCTAGCCAGCTAGCCTTTGCGCAGTTCTAGGGGCCCAGTCTTATGCATGGGGGGTGCGTCATGGCTTTGGGGCAGGGCAATTGACTGGGATTTTAACGGGGTGGTTTGTCAGCCTCCACTCCACACTGATTGGATTGGAGTTTGCGACGGGAAGTGAATTGGACTGGAGGGACCCTTTGTACACTTTATTCCATGCATTTTGATCAAAGTCCACCAACCTTTTCGTAGCACATGGAATAAAACAAAGGGAGTACCAATCATATTCGACGACTTACATCCTTTGCTTCGCGTCCTTGTCGCCTTATCGGGCATTTCCCTGGTCGCTTGGCAAAAACTGCGGATCGCAACTTTTGGCGATATACGATTTCCATCTAGAAAATTTCGACTTCACAAACCGAAACCGTTCACTCTAGAGATATCCCAGCCACGAACATAAAACGGGCCTCCACTAAACTAATACGGCCTTACTTTTGTGTTGGCATTATTTAAACACATCGCTTTTCAGCATTCGCTCAGAATTTCCGCAACTTTCACACGGTCACCCTCTCTCTCACCTTTTGCGCGCCACGCCCCTCACTATCGACATTGACCTATTGCCAGGTCTCGACCCATTCAGTTTTTTGAGAGATCAATTGGGTACAATGAGCACGGAACCTCTAGCTGGTGGCCCGGATATGGCCTCAGACGAGTCTCAGCGCCTGTTCGCTGATGAGCTGAAGGCGCTCATCGCCGGCGCTCGCGAAGAGGCTTTAGTCACTCAGGATGACGGCCAAGAGACCACAGAGACCACACAAGTCAACGGACAAACCAGCTCGGAAGACCAACCAGAGGTCATATCACAACCTCAGATCAAGCAAGAACCAGAGGAGGAGGAGCCGACATACGTAACGAAAAAGTTGAACGACCAGCAAGAGGCGCAGAAAGCGCAAGAAGCGCAAGGACCGGAGCACCCAGTGAAACAAGAGCCAGCTTCGCCATCACGAAAACGTCCCAGCCCGGAAGAAGAACCAGACTCCCCACCAAAACCTGTCAAGAAGGAAGCAAAGCAATGTGGTGTCTGTCAAGCGCAGCCAGGGAAGTACAGGTGTCCGCGCTGCCCGCTTATGTAGTAAGTTCAACAAAAAACAACCCCTCTTATTCTGACCAACATCCACTCATCATCACAAAACAGCTGCTCCGTAGCCTGCAACAAAGCCCACAAGGAAAACCACCCACCTCCCTCCTCGGTACAACCCACACCATCCACCAACACCCAGCAGCAGCAGCAGCAGCAGCAGCAACCTCCTCAGCCCATCGACAACGACCCCCTAGCCTTCCTCCTCCCCCACGCCCACCACATCACCCGCCTCCTTTCCAAATACCCCCACCTCGAATCTCGCCTCAACCACATCCTATCCCAAACCCTCCCGCCCTCCAACAACCCCAACGGCCTTCACGTCGACCCCAACACCGGCTTCGCCACCACCGCCTCCGGCCTCCCCGTCCGCGTAAACGTCCCCGGCTACGCCTCCTCTTCGGGAAATTCTTACATGAAAAAGGACACGCAGCCTTGGTCCAAGGAAGTCGGACTGCGTCGGGGAGCTGCTGCATTGAGAAGAGCGAGGACGGATCCGAGTGAAACGGGAGACGGCGTTAGGGAGCTTTGTGAGACGGTGCTTTGGTTGTTGAAGAGTCAGGAGAGGGGGGAGTTGGCTAGTAGGCCTGGTGGTAATAGTAATGGTGCTGCTGCTGCTGGGACGAGTAGTAGACCCAGCAGGGATGTGACGCAATTGGTTAGGGAGGAAGTTGTGAAAGAGGAGCAGGAGGTGGTGAAGAGGTTGTTGGAGGAGGAGATTAAGCGGGAGGGTGGGGATCGATGAATTGGCGGACGCCCTAGAAGGGGGAAAGCCATGGGGGAAGGGAAGGGAAGGGAAGGGAAGGGAAGGGAAGGGAAGGGATGCTGAAGCTTTCCTAATGAGAGCGGAAGATATCGATGATTAACGAACGAACGAATGGAGGACCGACATGGAGGGTGGCAGGAGTCAAAAGGGGTCGTTGCCGCTAACTGTGGTTGACTCAACGAATGGATTGACTTTGCCAACAATAAAACCTGTCTGAACAGTAGACATCGGAAAAGGGGGCAAGGAAAAGGAAAAAAAAAGTGACGGACCGAAGCAGGGATGGCGATGATGCCAACTTTTGTTTTTTTCTCTTGTAAGATGGCTGGCTGTTGGAAACACACATACCCACAGCGAGGAAGCAAGCGGCTACAAGAAGAGGTCGTGGCTTTCAAGTGCCAAAAAAAGATACCCAGAGAGGAGAACGATTCAGTGTCATGGATATACTGTGTTTGAGTTTTTAGGTCCCTGAGCATATCCGCGCTCATAGATAGGGCTGATGCGATTATATCAGTCCTTGGAACGGGAGCTACTTGGTAGCTATGGTACGGTTGGTGATGGGACCTTTCCTCAACCCCCTTCTCCTTGAACAGTCTCAAGTAACCACGTCAAAAGGGGCTGGTTAGGTATGACTGGCGGCCTCACTTCATGTGGAAATAAGACCACAGTGGATCACCAGCCTTTGCATAACCTCCCGAGCGCGGTTTCGGAATGGAAGTACACGGCGTAGAAGGGAATTATTGCTTTACTCTATGGCTGAATAGTCTTGCTCGGTCTAGGGTTTTAGGACGAGGGAGCATGGCATACGATGGTGATTTGCAACACTCGATGAACCATCATTGCTTTTAGTACTCGTCAGGGTTGCAAATGTCACCATGGCTAGTGGGTTGGCATGAGTAACCATACCTCAGTGGGTGGAATTGTTCTTGCCTTGTCCAACATTAGGACGACAGAAAACTACATGTACTTGATAACAAATCAGCTGTATATAAGCACTTCGAATGCGTATCCGGCCATGTCACCGCTATCTGCTGGTGTATAGATAACTTTAACGCCAGACATGGTATAGTATAAGTCAGCCGAAACCTTGATCTCAAGTTCGTCGCCGTCCAAAATTCGTTTGTGTTCATAGACCCAACACGCCTGCCATCTCTACCCTAGGTTGCCACCCTACGCCATCCATATCGACCCGTCATTATTATCCCATCGTCCCATGTATCATTGCCCATATAACCGCATCGCCTCATCTTGAACTTCAAACACAAACACAAACAACACAACTCAAAACATCCCCTTCTTCACACTTCCACCAAGCTTAGCAAAGAACCCACTCTTCTTACTATTCATCTTCCCCCTCTCCTTCTCCTTCTCCTGACTCTTCCCCGTCGCCGTTTTCTTCAACAACCCCTGCCGCAGCTGTGGCTGTGGCAGATTATCCGCACCAGGACCACCAGCACCACAAGACGAAGCCGTAGTAAGCGGTGACGTAGCAGCTTCCTCCCCTCCTGAAATCCCAGTCGTGGCTGTAAACAACCCACTGCCGCTACTGCCGCTACTGTTGGCGGTCACTGGAGAACCGGGAGAGCCAGAAGAGCCGGAGCCGGAACCGGAGCCGGAGCCTGATGAGCCATTCATGCCGAGCTTTTTGCGCAGGTTCAGGAGAGAAGTTGACCCTCGCAGGCGCTGGCTTAGGCTTTGGCTTTGGCTCTGGGTTGTTGGGGAGGGAAGGGCTAATAGGTCGTCGTTTTCCTTGGCGTTGGAGAGGGCCCTTTCTGCCGGTCTGTTGTTGTTCTCTGCTGCTGGTAGTGCTGCTGGCTGGTGTTCTTGCTGGGAGGTGGCCTGGTCTTGCGTTGTGGTCGTGGTGTGAATAGCTAGTGGATGAAGGAAGATTATGGATTCGGGCTCCTTACTACTTGCCCCGGGTTGCGTCCCGGCTGTTGCTGATGTTGGTGCTGGTGCTGATGCTGATACTGCCGTTGTATGGTCCTGTTCACCACCACTGGCTCCAGACGCCCAAGCCGCCGAGATCCTCGACAGCGCCCCTTCGAGGCTGAGACTGTGCCGTCTCTTTGCCCTATCGATATCGGTTTGTCCACGGGCTTTGTGGCCCCCTTGCGATGCCTCGTCAAGAATCTGTTCTTGTTTGGCGCGGTTGTTGTCCAGCAAGACTAACTGGGGCTGAGTCTGGTGTGGCAGAGCCGTTGTACGCTCCGCTATGGGGACCTCAACGGTCATTTCGCTGCTTCGTCGGTGGTGTTCGCCCTGGGCTCGCTTGTCGAGCTTGTCTTGTTGGCGGATGGCTTTGTCGGCATCGGTTTGATTCAACGCCCTGGCTGCGTCGTTGGGTACATGGCGGTATTCTTGTTCTTCGGCGGCTTCGATGTCGTGGTCGGCGTATGACTTGCTTGGCTTTCTTAAGCCTGTCGTCCGGCCAGCTGCAGTCGGGGCCCTGTTCAAAGAAGATATCGCTGCTTCTTGCCGTTGCTGCCACTGAGTAGCTGGATCTGTCCTAGCTTCTCTCATCCTTTGCTTCTTGGCTTCGTGTGCCTTTTGCTCGGCTAGCACATCGAGAAGGCGACGCGTCAGTTCCTCGGCATCGAAGTGTCCCTCTTGTGCCGCTAGTCTCGGCTTCCTAGGCTTTGCTGCCATCCGTTGCGAATATCCATATCCTTGGGGCTGGAGGCCGGGGGCGGGCTGGTAGTGGTAGTTGTTGTCGTAGACGTAGCCCTCCATGTCGTCTTGAGTGTAGTAGTCTTCTTGTTCGCTTCTCTTCTTTGTTTTCTTCTTGCTGTTCTTGAGCGTCACGCTGTCCTGATCGTTCCTTCCACTTCCGCTTCCTTTAAACCATTTGGTGAGCGACATCTCGAGGAAGGTGCGAGGGCTGAGCCGATGCAGGCAGGAAGGATTTTACTCGGCGATTTGGCCCGGATGCGAGGATTTCCCGGTGCCTGTTGAGGTGGTGTAAATGTTAGACGTGCAGTAGCTGCCAGTTCGACAGCATGCGTCGGTCACGTTGCGTTGTTCTGCCCGTTCCCTTGGACGGCTCTTGCTTTATGGCACGACCCTTGCCGTACAAGCTCATCCTTTGCTTGTTCTGGACGTCTTATCCCGAAGACCTGGCCTTAGTGACAGTTTTATGAAAGGATACAAAAGACTATAAGATATGCTAAGTAATTTTGAAGAGCGAAAGCGACGGTGGTAAGAAATGATATAGTGGTGCTGGTGATGGTCTTGAGGATATCGTGCTTTCTTCTAGTCTTTGAATGGATCTCCCTTGCCCCAAAGATGGTGTCTAATTTTTCTCAACAAAGAACAGTTGTCAAGGGATGGACACATCAACTCGGACGACGGGTGGTACGACAGGAAGAAGCCGCAAAGGGCGAGGACAGGAAAGTATATACCTTTGGTACTTCCGGGTGGTTCCCGTCTTTTCCAAGTCGTACCTGAACAGACTGTGACCCCTCCCTCACTGGGCTTCCCTCCCCCAACTCTTTTTGGTCAGAGGCGAACTTTATGATTCTCGCTAAGATTGGGCAAAGCTGGATCGTTAAATTGGACGTTACGCCAACCATTGTTCCTATCGTTTCTGTTTTTGGTACCCAAGAGCCAAGAAACCAGGTGAACGACCGATTCTCCTTCGCTCTGCAGCGTACGGTAGCAACGTGCTGTCGCATTCAATGTTTATGTGCATATCATGATAGAACAGCGTGGTAGCGAACAGTTGACGGACAGCCAAATGCCGGTGTTCGACCATGGTCACATCATGAGGACTCAGCCCACGCGCGCTGCCTTGGATTCTTGCAGATGAGCGACCCGGACGAGAGAGACAATCTGACAATGTGTGTCACTTGACTTGCACTACATTTTTGCCCGTGACTGGGGATTATACCAAACTGGAATGGGATGAGGGGGTGTTTTGCACTCGTGCCTCGCTTGCCACTGGAGCCTTACCTAGCTGGACCATTGATAACGGCCTTGGACCGATGACGGAGGGGATCGTGACTTGTGAAAGACTATTGAGTATTGTCTAATCTGTGAGGGCGCATGCTCACCGTGTAGAGACCCTGACAAGCTGCCAAGTCGAGGAATGAAGCTTTTCCCTTAGCAGACAAAGTAGCATGGCGTACCCCTACAGCGTAATAAAACGAGGTGAGACTTTGGCCAACTTGAACTTGACTTGTTTGGTAGCATGCCGACCACACACACTTGAACTGACAAGGAGTGTAAGACAGGTAAAACGGCCGAACGACCTCGATCTGGTTTTCCCACAAGGATGGGATTCGATTAAGCATCGATCAGCAAGCATGTTGTACCGTTAGGGCGTGTTCCAGTTTACTCCCAGTTGATCGAGTCTGTTGATTCGTATACAACGCTAAAATCTGCGGTCTTAACAGGGGGGTCTTTATACCATTTTATCTTTTTTCTTTTTTTCTTTATTACATGGTAGCGCCTATACGTACTAATAAGCGAAGCCATACGCAGGGGTATAGCTTATCTATCGAAATCTCCATACTAAAACTCGTCTATTCAATCATAGAACCGTAATTACCGTTATAAACTCAATTTTAAAGGTATTTACAAATAGAAACATCTATTTAATAATTAGGAAGCTGCTCTATATAATTGTATAACGTTTATTTAATTATTAGGTATAGTAATTAATATTATTGAGGTTGAAGGTTTAAGGAGTAAAAAAGGGGATATAAATAATAATCTATTGCAATAACAGCTGGAATCGAACAAACTACAGGAATTGTACTTTTGAACGTTTGAGAACTATTATTATTAATAATAATCGTTAAATATCGTAAATCGCTAATTTTTAATTAATTGAATCGAATTGACTAGAGTGCCTAGCTAGGAGCTCTCGAGTATATAAATATAAGTATTAATTCTATAATTTTATTAAATAGAATCCTCTATTATTAGTACTCTTATCTATTACTTCCTCTCTTAACTATTACTTTCTCTCTTACCTATTATATCCTCCCGCTGCCTCCAAATCGCTAACCTTATCAACGACGCTAACGACAATAATATCTTTAACTTAAATAAATATATTTACAACGGCCCGCATAGCCCAACCCCCAATTAGTAAAAGGATTTCACTATCGATATTTATAACTTCAGTAACGTATCGCCCAATTATATTAAAGTATAAGAATATAGTATTATTAGCTTTACTACTATTAACTGTCCTCTTCCTCGTCCCTTAATTACCCTACTGGCTTCTTAATTAGACCCTATATTTCCTATACCCCGTATTAACCAACGTACGTACTCGAACTAGCCGCCTACTCCCTAGCCTACCCCCTGCTCTTCTACTATAGCCTCCCCCTTATAAATAATTTAAATTACTAGGCGGGGTAGAGGTTAGCGAAATCGAAGTCAAGGAAATACTAAAGGTAGCTAAGTAAATTAACCTAGTATTAGCATACTTATTTTATTATTTCGCCGGCTGTTAACTATCCCTTTATTATTTAATAAGAATAATAATAACGACAGCGATAATAGCGATAGTAATAATAACTTAATCCTTAATATCTCTATTATACGGCTACGGCTATTAATCCCTCCCCTTAATACCCAGCTCCTTAATACCCAACCCCCTAGTACCTAATCCCCTAGTGCCCAGCCTACCGCGGCCTCCACCTCCAATAACGGTAAAGCATCCCCTCGATAGATTAACGCCTCAAAGCAGCTATTTATAATTACCTTCGCCGAGCTCTCTAAGAAGGGGAAGCTCTATAGCGAATTAATTAGCTAGTTAAGGAAGGCTTTTAATACGGCGGGCGAAGTATTAGTAACGGTATAATTAAATATTAATTAAAATTATAAGCGGCTATAGAATCGTTAGAATATTTATAAGGACGATTATTACTTATAAATTATAGTCTTCTAGAGAATTAAGGTAGTCTTTAACGAATCGGTTGAGCAGTTTAAAGCGGATAAGAATACTTAGGTTTCCTTCCTTAAAAGTAAACTATTAGGAGTAAAGTAGTTGAAAACGACTCCTTTTAAGTACTGTAACGAATATACTTTAATATTTACTATTAATTAGACGATTAGCAAATATATTATTAAATTAGAATAGTAATTATAATAATAATTAGAAGGGAAGTATATCCGAAAGTATAATAATAACGATATTACCCCGGCGAAGAAAAATAAAAGGAAAGGAAAGGGAAGGCGAAGAAAAAGAGGGATTCGATAGAGGAATTTATAGGTTCTAATAATAAAGAAGCACCTTTCTATGTACAGCCGATTATAAAGAGGAAGTTAACAACCATAGATAATATATTTAAATTAGCTAAATCTATTTCTAACATTTAGAAATACTTATTATAAAGTATACTATCGTCTCCCTCTATTACTATAGCCGGTCCTTTTACTATTATATCCTTTTCTCTTATACCGGCGAATTTAATTAAATATAATTATTACTTCTAAATATTTATCAATACTTTAATAATAATATCCCCTCTTTATTATATAACTAAAAAGGATAAATAGAATTTTATTAAAGAATTACGGAAGGATAAAAATATAATGCGTCTTTTTTTTACCGTACCGTCGGGGAAGTTATTATTCGCGGAAATAATTCTAAATAACGAACCGGGGCTTTTTCCGGCTCTTCGTTATTAGAATTATTAAACTTATAATTATTTTCCGACTTATTAATATAATCCGCGTCGTTAATTTTTAGTCTTACCCTTACCTTTAATTATTAATTGCTATAATATATAATCCTTAACTTTAAACCTATTGGAATAATTTAATATATTATACATATATTTATAAACTTTAATTTAATAGTAGAAGTAAGTGGATATCGCCGCTAAAATAATAATTTTAATAATAGTAGGGCGGTTTCGCTAATATATATATTTACTTATTAATTTATCAAAATCGTTTTAATTTATAATTTTATTGCGCTTTGGATTGTTTATAGGCATTTATTTAATAGTATTAAATTAAACGTAAACGTCCAAAATACTACTAAATATTATAGTCGCTTCGGCGAATATTTATATAATAAGTAACGCCGGTATTAAAATTACCGTTAGGTAAATATATATAGATTTATTAAATTCGGTATCGCGTATTAATTTTATAATATATATTAGGACTACGGTAAAATGAATAATAATTTTACTAGTACTAACTTCGTTAATTAATATTGCGTATTTAAGGGGGGCTTTTTCTAATTATTAAATTATATATATATTTAAAAAAACGAGTTAATATTACGTATTTATATCCTATAAAAGGATAGGCCTGTTTATCCTCCTGTAGGATTTAAACGAGGAAAATACAATTTATTAATTAATTAGTACGGTAAAAGGAATTTCTTTTAATAGAATAAAAAGGAATTACCTACGGTATCCCCTAATATTTAATTCGTTTACTCTTCCTTTTTATAATATTTATATAGAATATAAAAATTATAATATTATACGTCCTCCGTATGAGGATTAGAAATAGTATTATAATTAACGCTGGTAATTCTCCCCTACGTTTTTATTATAAATTAAATTATAATATAATTCGGTAAAATATTTAATAGCGAATAACGCTTTTAAATAAAGCCCGCTATTTAATAATAAATTTTAAAGCGCGTTTTTACTAATTATTAGGTGCTACCCTCTTATAACATATTTAGGTAATTAGTAAAGGCGGCTAATATATTAAATATTTTGAATCGTTCTTTCTTATTACGTTTACGCTTACCCTTTATTTCGAAGCTTAAAGTATCGAATATATCGTTAAATTATTCGTTAAATTACTTATTTACTATTAATTTAATTACTTTGCCCAGTTAGAGGAAAGTTCTTACTATTACGTCCAAATCCTTTAGGGGCTTTATTTAGACCGGATCTTCGAATCAATTATACTTTTCTTCGCGCAATATTCTAATAATCGCTACGAATAAACTATTATTTATTTTAAGAATATTCTACATTCGGAGGTCTTTATTAAGTTTATTAATATTGGTGCTAAAGTTTTTAAAAATATTCCTCTTCTTTCCTAATTATTAATAAATATATAAATATAATTAGAAATATATAAAGTTATATATAGAACGTTCTATAATATC